AGAAATCTTACTTTTATCTTTTTAGTCAAGTCTAATGTCCACTGCCAAATGCATTTTACATAACCTAACTGTTACACAGTACAAAATAATTTGTATCATGCAATTATTTTCTTTTTTTAAAAAATTTTATTTAAGAGATGTGTTCTTTAGAGGTAAAAGAACAGACAACAAAATTGATTTTAAAATCAATCTTTTCTGGTTCTTTAGTGCACTGGTTTTGGCTGGGATAGAGTTAATTTCTTCACAGTAGCATGTGTGGTGTTCTGTTTTGAATTTGTCCTGAAAAAGAGCCTTGATAACATAGAGATGTTTTCATTATTGCTGAGAGGTGCTGACACGGGGTCAAAGCCTTTTTTGCTTCTCACTCTACCGCACCAGTGAGGAGGCTGGAATTTCTCAGGAGATTGGGAGGGGATACAGCTGGGACAGCTGACCCCAACTGACCAAAAAGATATCCCCTACTTTATGGTGATATGTTCAACATATAAAAGTGGGGGAAGAAGAAGGAAGGGGGAGACCTTCAGAGCTATTGCATTTGTCTTCCCACATCACCATTAGGTGTGATGGATCCCTGCTCTCCTGGAAATGGCTGAACACCTGCCTGCCCATGGGAAGTGGTGAATTAATTCCTTGTTTTGATTTTTGGCTTTTGCTTTACCTACCAAACTGTCTTTATCTGAACCCAAGAGTTGTTTCTCACTTAGCCTTTTGACTATCTCTCTCATATCACTGGATTGGAATGAACAAGTGGTTGCATGGGGCTGTGCTGCCTACCAGGGTAAACTACAATATCTAGTCATGGCATTTAGCCAACCCTTAATCTGAAAAGCTTGCAAATAAAATGCATGTAAGCTGCTACATATACCATGAAAAGTTATGATAAATTTATTCTTAATTCTGAAGAAATATCAACACAAATGACTTCTTCATAGGAATCTATTATTAAGGTTATAAGATTTCAAATATGAAGAGCATATTCTTGACAAAGAGACTAAACTGTGAATTAGACTTCTTAGTATGAGCTTTAGGTACCATACTGGTTTTGCCAAATTGAGATCTTATGAAATAAAAACATAACCTCTGCTCAAGCTGGAATTCACAGTTCTAGCTTCTGAAGTATTCTAATGCATGCACCTTATAACGTAATTTTCCTTTAAGTTGCCACTGCTTGTAGATTTATTTGCTGTGACTGAGTGACTAGTTGCAATTTTGTCTTAATAAATGCTGGAATTGATTGGTGCAATTTTTAAGATCTTACTGTGAAAATCCAGAACATATCCTTGACCCTAAAGTGCACCTATGGTCAAGCATGTCAAGGTGATAATCTGATAAACTGACTCTCCCACAGCCACACATATGCTTTTCCTCATTAATATGTAGTGGAATGGCATAATTAAGTTTACTGAAGAGTAGAAAATGCAATGTATTACCTATAGAATACATAGTACACAATATCGGACTTTACTTGGTTAAATAAAACATTGCACTGTGCTGTTTTCTAACAGTCAAACTATAATTACCTTTCAGAAAATAGTATTGTCTTTTTGTTAAATCTGCATTTCAGGTACTTCCAATATTCATACCTTGTACAAGTTTCCTAAGAATAGTATGCCATGTCCTAAAATAAACTAATAATACATTCACCCTTAGTGTCTGAATCAAATATTTATTTGGTAATTAAGTTCATATTGCAAATAACAGCAGAGAATTAAAACCCCCTGATATATCTGAGATATAGAATATATACCTTTTCTTCAAGTAAACATGTAAGTAAAATTCTTCTAATGAAGCAATAAACTAGATAGTGAAATTCATTTATCTTGTTTGATTCATTTTTTACTACCAGTTGAAATTTAATACAGTGTAAAAACTGTCCCACTAGTTTCCTTAAACACATTTCCTGATGAAAAACATTTTCTTTCCTGCTTTTACTTTATAACATGGAAGTATTATATTAATTTAAGAACGAATCCTTTCATTCTCTCTATTAAATTGATCACATACAAATCCAATCTGTGGATAAAAGTAATATCCCCTACCTCAAAAGCAGTTCACTGTTACAATGGGAAACTAAATGACAAGCAAGTAGAAAGGCTCCAGTTGTTCAAGAAGTATTCTGTGTTGCCGCTCACAAGGCACATCTTTGATTGTGAAGATTAAAGCAATTAGTTTTTTATTGTGTTCCATACGTGACAAATTAATCAGATAATGATTTAATCAGTAACAACAAAGGTTTAATTTAACTCACAATAAACAAGAGTTACTTATTGCACTCTCCCTATAGGGGGGTGCACTCTAGGTAACTAGACTGTAAGGCAGAATAATTTTGCCTCTTTTTATTTTGTGTGTTCTTATAGAGATTTCTATAGCAACTGAATTAAATTATATGTGGTGTTAAAAGCTGCAGACTTTTATAAATTAATAATGCTGCAAAATTGGTTTGTCTGGAGTTGGAACAGTCTTCCTCAATACCCAGAGAACATTGAAATAAGAGTAGTAAAGATACAGAGACAGTATAAATTTAAAACACATGAAACTTGGCTACTGCATTTGTTTTCACACAAGTTCTGAGTGGAAAGCTACATAAGCACTTTTACTATTGTCCTGATCTTCACTCCAAAAGGGTTGTACTATTCTTTTAAAATGTAGTACACTGAATTGTGCAAATAAAGTATGAGCTTGTTTCTGATCATGTTGCTTCTGCTATGAAAATTCCATTGTATATATACATGACTGGAAAGTGTCTATGAAGCAAAAAAACTACTCGTTACAGTCTGATCTGTGTCCTACGATAGTTTAAGTGTTCCGTGCAAATCCCTTTAGAATGATAAATTCAGAGGTGCTATGCCTACTATAACTCTTTAAAGCTGTGCCTCCCATTTAACCTGTAGCAGTGGATATCATCGTGTGCTCTTGATATGATTGCTGTAAGAGCTGATTTACAAAGGGGCTTATGAAGGACTCAGACAAGTAACTTCTATTTTAGTTTCTTAAGAGTAAATCTTCAAACCTTAATTTTCTCACTGAAGTACCTCAAAATAAAAGAATGACAGCCAAAGTACCTTCCCATTCATCCTGAAGTTGCTTAGAGGCCTAAAATTCTATTAAATGAGAATTATTAAATTATTAAATTAATAAATTATTATTATATTATTAAATTATTAAATGAGAATAATTCTATTAAATTCTATTAAATGAGAATTGTTAATATTTCAGTGTAAGCAACTGTGATTCTTCCATATTCACATTCAGAACAAAATCAGTTTCCTATCGGGAAATTTTAGAGAGGACTTAAAAAATAGTTTAAAAGCTGAAATCAAGATGACTTCAAAAAATGACAGCTCAGGTTGGTGTATGGACAACAGACTTATCTTTTAAAATGAGATACTATGAGAATTTAATATAAATAATAGTGAGGATGCAGTGAAAGCAGATACTTTAAGGCATGTATCAGTGTTGTAAATACTAAATGGAGTGAAAACTGACTCACCACTAGTTTCAAAATTAGGATTATCCATAGATAATGATTGCATGTGTATAACAGGGATTAATTCTAGTCCTGATTCTTGTCCTGTGCTAGTATTAGCCTGTGATGAGTACCATTTATTGAGGTCAGATGTTTAGTCATACATTCCAACTAAGAATATAGTCTCATCAATATTGTGGCAATTGGTCTAAAGTACTCCAAAAATTCCAGAAAAGAGAATAGCAAGTATAAGTAAAGTTACAAGAATTGATCACACCATCATTTTCAAACCTGAGACTCTGCTTGAGCTACACTGATCTGGAATAAACATTCTGTAACCAGTATCCTGCCATTTCAGACTAACAGGCTGAGGTATAATAAGGTCTTGTGCCCGAATGCTGGCAAAATAGTCATTTATATCTGAAATACAGAATATAATTTTAATGCTGGTGATAATAATCTGCTGTACTCGCAAGCCATGGTGGAGAGTTCATCACTAAAATGTGTGCTCTACTGGAAATGTTTTCCTAGTGTTGAATCAGGTTAATTCAAAGAATTAATCTGTGACTTGTGTTATGCTGAGTCAAGCTAGATAATCACTGTCTCCTTAAGGTTTTATAATCTGAGGATCTGTTTATTACAACAGACTGGAATAGAAGTGCTGGATAAAGAAAATGATAGAATCCTGATTACAAACTGTAAAGATAAATTTCTTGCCAATCCCATAATTTTCAAGAAAGAAACAATTACTCAGGCTTTCTGTGATGGCTGAATTTTGCTGCTAATCCAAAATCAAGTTCTTTATCAGATATATGGACAGGAAGCACAAAAACTGAAGTGGCAAGATATTGATCAATTTATAAGGTTTACTGACAATTGCTTTGTAGATTCCTGAAGAAGATTAGATCCTGTTCAAAATACTGCACAAATATTTAATGGGAAAAACTGCTCCACCATTTGGATGTCTTTTTTTTTTAAGCAGTTCTGCATCTTAATGCTGAATTAAACTTGCTCATCAAAATGGATGTAATCCAGAATCCTGTAATTTTCATGAGCAAATTTGGAATTAAAACTTCTGAATATATTCAGAAACCTGTTACAACCCCATAAACACTTGTCTTAAGACCAGACTTCAGTGTCGTTAACATGATTAAATAGCTGTAACATCCAATATAAGGGGAGTGGCTGAAACAAACTCGATTATTCAGAAGGCACCAGGGGATCTTATAAATGTGTGCAAAAATTTGATCATTAAAAGAGATGCAACCAGACCCTTCTCACTGGCGCTCACTAACAAGACAAGATAAAATTGTTGTACAGTGGAACAATAAAACACTTTTTCACTGTGAGTATGGTCAAGCACTGGAAGAAATTGCCCAGAGTGATTGTGAAGCCTCCATACTTGGTGATATTCAAAACTTGTTTGGATATTGTGTTGAGCAACTTATTATAGCTGTCCTTTCTCTGAGCTGAGGCACTTGACTAGAAGTCCCCAGCCCAGGCCATGAGTCGTATCTGTGAGGATGTGACCAGGACAAGGCCAGGCCAAGACATCGGCCCACGGTTGGGGATCAGGGTCAGGCCTGGTGAGGGGAAGCAGAGTCAATCACAAAAATGGAAAGGACAGGCAGGTCTTCGGGGTTGAGCAGAGGTTGTGTTGGGATGTGGGAATGTGAGTGGGCCTAGCTTGGCAAGGCCCATGTCTTGGCACGGCTGTGGGGAACTAGAGTCTGGCCCTGCTGCAGCATCGCCGGGGCAGTGGCAGAGGGTCCTGGGCACTAAAATGGTGTCCTGAGTCATGGGCAGAGTGGGGGAGGCTCCCAGACATTAAAGCCCATTATTGCACTCACTTTCCTTTCAGGTATTTGTGAGATATTCTCCGGTGATGTAAACGACACAGATTAACTTCCTTGGTACCATCTCTGAAAAGCAAATCATAAGGAACTGAATGAAGCATTAATTCTCCACTGTTTTTGTAGTAAATATAATGGAATGCATGTGATCCTAGAAATCTAGTTTCACAATGACGTATTTCTTTTTAGACAAATTTGCCTTAATGCCTATGGTTATCTTACCTAAATTTAACCCGGACTTTGAACTCAGAAAGTCTGTTCTAATCTCAAAACTATATGGTAAATACATTTTCTTTTAGTTGGAATGCCTCTTTAATTAAAAAATACAAGTAAACTTTTAGTTGATATTAAAGACATGTCTATACCATTTTGAATTCAATACGACAATGAGATACCTTGACCAACAAGGTTTAGCTCAATTTTTTTTGTTTAATATTCTGTCTGTACTCCTAATTTGTCTTAGATGTTTCAATAAGCAGAAAAAATTTTCTTGCCTGTAGCATTATGCTATCACATAACTCTGATACAAAAGATAGTTTTTTAAAAGCCAGTTTAGATGTTTTTAACTGGTGCTCATTATTAAAATTGGACATACAGACACTGTGAAGCAAGGCCACAATAACATGTAGTCTTAGAGTTCAGTCCTGACTTTTGGAAAAAGGGAATGTGGGTTCAGGCCCTTGAGGTTAGCTGCTGTGCCCCATGGGCTGTGGAATAGATGATGTCTATTCCTCCATTGGTAACCTTCATTTCGAAAACTTTCTTCCATGTGTTGTTTCACAGATGCCCAAAAGAAACACGCTCTTTAAGTTTAAAATACTGTTGTATATAAGCAAAATGAAGAAAACAGTGTTTCATTTCCACAAAGAGAGTAAAAAGTCTCCTTCCCCACTCTTCCAAGTTCTGTTTGGCTGCTGAAGTAAGAAATAACTAAATTATGCCACAATTTTCATAAATATATTAATTAAATATATTAAGCCAAATTCATACATGGTTATTTTTAAGGTTAAATTTAATTAAAATCACTGAGGATGAAGGATATTGTTTAGCTAGCTATGGTCAAAAAAAGATATCACAATGCCACAATTCAGTTTTCATGTCACTGTGTTCTACTCAGCTCAGAGGCATGGCTAGTGTTGATCTTGGAATTAGTAAATACATACTTAGTGCTTTGAAAACAGAAAAAAAATTAATGCTCTTTCTGATTCTAATACTTTTTCTAATTTTTTTTTCTTTTACATTGTTGTTATCAGTATTATATGTATTATTTTTATGATTAATGTCATGCATAGGTCCATTTGATTTTTTGGTAATATTAACATAAATATTCTTACAGAAGCCTCTTACTTTGATACTTTCCAGTAAAAGAATGTAAAAAATTCTGTAGCTGAATGATGGATATTCTCTCGTGGTTATTTAAGAGTCGAAATTTAATAGCATAAGGAAATACTCTCTTGAGGTATTTCAACTAGATGATTGCAGGTAGTCCTTCACTGAAAAATGTAAGTAATGCAACAGGGGTATTTTTGTCATAATATAATCATATCACTAAGGCTGTAAAAGATATGAGATTTAGCAGAATATCTGTAATTCCCGAGGGGGGTGATTATCTCCTGACAACTACCCACTAGATTCGCCTTGCTGCTTTTATAAGAAGTCTGCTTTGTGTGAGATAATGTAGCTTAATATCCTAGAAGATCAGTTGACAGCAGTTTTGCATGTTTCACATGAAATAATCTGTCATTATGAAATAATATAACATTTAGAATGTTCTGTAGCTATTGAGAGCTCTCCTCCAATTCAGTGATCCAGTGTAGTAACAATGACAAGCAAAGTGATATGTCCAACAACCTAACGATATTGGGAACTTAGAATAAAAATGGTGAAATGTTATGAAAATTTTACTTTCTGTAGAAAGTTGTAAGATTTTTTGTGGTTGTTTGTTTGGTTTTGATTTTTTCCATAATATTGTAATAAGTTCGATTCTATACAATATTGCAAGAGTACAGATGAAACTGGGCTACCTCTAATCTTGCTTTTTGGGTAACAACAGTGAATGACATACCACCTCTTAGCTTAACAATGTCAAATGTAATTTGTTTCCTGGTCTGATTAAGTCCTTTCTAAGAAGTCACTGCTGGAAAGCTGCTGTTATCCAGGCTATCCATTAAGGTTAATTTAACTGTGTCCCAGCGACTCTTCATTATGGCAGATTCAGTTGATAAAAAACTGTGCAGAGCAAAGGATGAAATATCTAGACTAAGTGACATATTAAAAGTTAGATAATAACTAATTCTCTAAACTCATCCCTTCACCATCAACAGAAAAAAAACTTCTCCAGATAGTAAACCTTATTATCCACTTAACTCAGATTTAGTAGATTCTTTATTATTTTTTCCCCAACATACAACATTCATCTCTTAAGAAACATATTTTTGTTATAATCATCCTTCTCTAAACTCTAAATGGCGCAAATCTCCATTGAAGTTAGCTTTTGCTATAAGAAAAAATATTCAAAAAAGTAACAAATGGTGAAATATGTTATCAGCTCTTCCTATACACTGATTCAATAAGAGATCGTTCTAATGCCTAATATCACAGTGTCATACTTAATTGAAAAAGGTATGTTAGAAAAACCCAAAGAAAAAAACAACCCCACCCAGCTGCTTAATTCAAACCCAGAAGACAAGATAACAAAAAATAACAAAAAGAATCTCAAATTCACAGAATTCTAAAGATCATTAAATTTAAATGACAAAGAATCTACTCTTTCTTTCCAAATTGGCATTTCTGAAAGAAATACTCATAAGAATGGTGGTTCCAAAAATAAGTAACAAAGGATTTGCTAACAGATGTAAGTTTGTGTCTTTTTGTGTCTTTTTGTATCTTTATGCTGAATATTTAAGTCACAATCACAAAACATGAAAATGAATTAATTCTTATTCATACTAGCACATTATTTTTATTGGCTCAACAGGCTGAAGTGGGTTGGATATCGGTGTTAGAAATTATTTTGAACAATGTCAGCTGGAATCAGTGGAAGTACTAGTATGATATTAGATTATTGGAAAGCTGGCGTGACAGAATAATCCTAAATAAATACGAATATTTGTTGACTCTTTAAAAAATACATTTTCGGCTAGCTTCATGCTTTTTCTCTCTTTTCTATAGATGTTCATAGCAACTGAGGTGTATGTGCACAGATTATCAGGGAAAACCAAATTTGTCTCATGTGCAAGTAATATCATTAGAAATATTAGAGGTATTTTCTTTTTGCTCAGTCAGAGAATACAAACTATAGTGTACAACTTATTTGAACAAACAGATCTAAAAAAACCCAAAAAACAGCTAGAAAAAGGAATATAAGTCATTACAAAGAATGGCTGGTGGGTAATGAAGCAATGATCGCCTTAGAGTAACTTTGAGCAAACGAAATAGAAGGAAAACACCATGATATCCTTGCCTTAGCCTTAAAAAAAGGACAAAAATCAAAAGGTGGAAGACTAGCCCCTAAAAAGTATTGATACAAATGGTCCACTTAATTATGAACATTAAATAAACACTTTTCTTGGAAAAGGTCAGAACTGTTCATCTGTAACATTTAGTCCTATGGGCTTACAGCAGATAATTTTAGAAGGCTGAGCTTATTAAGGCAGTTTATCAGCCTTGAGAAACAAAGGGTTGAGAAGAAAAAGGACAAGATGATTTCAATATCCAAGATGGTACTGAAAACTTAATGGGTTCACGGACTGGGCACTTTATATTGCATGCAATGCAGACTCCTTCATATATTTGTAGGAAGTCCAACAAATCAGATTTTCTTCCACACATGCAGATCAGCCATGCAAGATATATGCATTTGAATTAGTACAAACATTTTAAACGCAGTAAATTCATTTTCAGGCCTTGTTTCAAACCAAACCATGCATGTATGCACATCAGACTAGCACAAGACATGCAACTGGGAGATGTAATGGCAAAAATGCTGGGAAAAATTCATAGGACTCAAAATTTTGAGATCTGAAACTGAAAATGTTGTGTTTCATAGAACTTTGCATGAAGAAACTACCAGTATTTCTGAGAATCTTAAGAGACCCTGAAGTAAGCCAAAGTCAAGTTTAGCTTGATACCAGTAGAGTTAAAAATGGTAGATCTCGAAGGGGCTGAACTCCTTACATGTTTTCTGGAAAACCAAAACCGTCAAAGATTGATAAAGAATATTTTTCAAAAAATTTGTTATCTTATGAAAGTTAGGATTTTTCAAAGATATATTGCCAACCATGAACATGTGAAGTGATTTTAAGCAATTTAAGCAATTTAAGGAACCACCTTCAATCCCTACAGTATCCTGGCTAATTAAGGAATTATTTATTTTACATCTTTTTCTTCTGAGCCATTGGCATTGTTTGACAGTATTCTTTATATGAACTTATTTCTCCAAAAAATGTTCCTTCTCAAAAGAATAATTATACCTTCTTTACACAGCACTGTAAAGGCACACACAGAAACAGTAGTTCACAGTTCAAAATTCTCCTAATTTACCTCCTGTAGTCCTGAAACATGGGTTTGCAGTTTGGCAATTTATTACTGTGGAGATGTCAGAAGTGAAAGAAATACTTTAAAAAAAACATAGAAAGTAAATAGCAATATTTTGGTAATTATTTTTAAATTACATTTAAAGAGTGATTTAAGAAAAGAAAGCCTGGACTTGGGTGGGCTGGGAGGGGAGCTGTTCACCCCTCTTCGACACAGATCAGATATATTTTAAATTCCTGGATGGCATTCCTGAAGCAGGATGAAGGATTATAATCAATGTATATTGTTATATAACATATGAGAAAACCTCTTCTAGCATTTTGGCAGAGTTTACTTTAAAATGACAAGTAACACTTTCTTAATTAAAGGTACCACTAGTATTTAGAATTATTTCTAAGTAGACATCTTTCAAGATTTACCGTTTAGAATTATGAAAGGAAGCTTATTATTAAGACAAGTAGAATCACTAAAGAAGAATCAATTAGTGGAGAGCATAACATGACTCTGAAGCTCTTGTTTTGTAATTTTTTTTAGTAATAAAATTTAGCCATGAAAACACTTTAGATTTTAATACAGTTGAAAAATTGATATATTCTGTTTGTTTGTTAGAGGGATACTAACCTTGGCACTTGTGATGTGGAAGAAATTTGAATATACATGCTCATAAAATGCAAATTCAGAAGGAAAATATGCCTGATATTCTGACTAAACATTTCAAATTAAGACTGTAAATAAATTTAGAATCAAAATGAAACTACAGCAAAGCATAATGGATTAATCATTACAGAATTTGAATTACCCAGATGTAAGCTCTGTATGAGTCTCTAGATCTTGGCAGAAAGAGGCACTGTTTGAAAACAAGAGACTGCTCATGTTGACAGGAAACAGATAGGAACAGAAGTATAAGACAATAAAGGAATGATTGATAACAGATTTATTTCCATATAGACAACTCATACTCTATCTTCTGAAAACATGGTTTGCAAATTCTGAAATATTTTAAGGTGTTCTGGTCTGCATAATATATATATTCTTGAAATTCAAGGTACGTTTTCATGCATTTCTATTTTTTTCGTTGAAAATAATAACAATAATAATAGCAGTTTTCATCTTGTCTATCCTTGAATCTTGTCTGAATTCAAATTCTTAAGTGATATAGATTATACACTGTTACTTCCATGTTTTTAAAGGAAAGTGAAAATTGTACAATATTTTTATTAGAGGTGATCTATTAGGATGATGCATTTCAAAAATTAAAGCAAAAAAAAAGAAGAAAATGCTTTCTTATGTATCCTTCTGCTAAGTATTAATACTACTTTGAAAAAAAGTTGAAATGGTTATGAAAACCATTTCTATGAAAACCACTGAGTGTATTCTGATTCAGTCACTTTTTCTGATTTTTTATTTTAAGAGTAATTTAATTTTACAATGAATACCAGTTTTCAAAATGGGACTGAAATAATTTACTTGAATTTCCTGAAAAATCTGTTATCAAAGTATCTGGAACAAATATATGCATTGTACGTAAATGTATAAATTCGATAAACATAAATTTACATTAAAAATACAAGAGAAAATTAATAGGACAGTTGTGTCTAAAACAATGAGTAATTTTTACATTTTATGAATCCTCAGTAAGACCTTAACAGGGAAAATATCCAAGATTATTACCATATTTCAGGGAAAAAACATGGATTTATTGCTAAAATACAGAGGAAGCATATAAATAGTTTCATTTTTAGAAAATATGACTTCCAGGCAAGGTGAAAAGATGTCAAATTGTACTGTTGAAAGACAAGAAGGTTGGAGATTTAAACACATAACATAGAACACCAGAGAGGTGTTGTCCATGTCCACTATTATGACAAAGATTTAGATTAACTGTCAGAGTTAAGTTTCAAATTCATTTAATTTGCCAAGCTAGTGCATTAAATCTTCACCTTTGAAGGACTTCAAGAGAAATTTAAGCAGTCATTTGCTACTAAGGGCTAGTATAGATGTTCTAAACTGGAGCGATCAGGTGAATTAGATCTGGATGCTACTTCTCTTTCACTTTTTATCACTACAACTTTTTTATTGCAAATATATTAGAAATGTACAAACAGTTAAATACAATTAACTTCTGTGTTGTTCATTATTGACAATGTAGGAAATTTGGTGAATAAATGAAAACTAAATAAATATACCACAAAGTTCACAGGTGCAATATAGAAATCTAAATACAAACTGATATTCTGAAAAGTCTTATGCAGCTGCTAATAAACTGACTGATTATTTTGGTAACTAAATTTTGGATACCAGCTATATTGGTATATCAATTTACTATTTTCAGTTACCCTGACACCTTAAGTTTATGGCCAAATGTATCCTAATTTTAATTCTGTTGGAGTTTATCTCATAGTCACCCAGCCAAGACCTAATAGTCATGCATTTTGGAATTATTGTTAAATCATCTGCAAATATATGCTATTAGAGTTAGCACTTTTATTATTGCGTAAATATAGCCATAGGAAAAGCAAGTGATGCTCTGAAAAAATCAGTGATCAAAGCACTCTTACAGGATACATAAAAAAAAGTCTCCCTCTCCCCATGCTTCTCCCTCAGATAATTAAAATCCGTGAGTGCAGTCAAAGAACCACAAAATCAGAAAATCAGAGAATTACAGAATGCTTGTACAGAAGCACAAGCAAGTTAACTGAACCAGGTTGCTCAGGATCATGACCTGTTGCATTCTGAATATCTTTACAGTATCTCTCTAAAACCTATTACAGTTGGTCACTTTCACAGTAAAAAAGGATTTTTTCCTAAGTTCAGATAGAATTTCATCCTTTTTAATTTGCGCCCCTTGCCTCTTGTCTCATCAGTGGGCACTACTGAGAGCAGTCTGGTTACCGTTTCTTCATTCCCTCCCATGGTACTTATACACAATGATAAGATCCCCTTAAGCCTTCTCTTGAATAGTGCCAGCTCTCTCAGAGAGAACCAGTATATTTCAATGCCAATAGGGTAATACCAATATTACAATGCATAGTTTGTTCCTGTAATTTCTATTGGTTCACAAAATCTAGGAATATCACGTATAGAAACATAAATATTGGTTGTACAGGTTAGAAAATATGTCTTTATATGTATTTGGAGAGCAGTGCCCAACTGAAATTGTAGAAACTAAAGGTTTAGTGTTGGTATCTACGTATGTTTTTAGAAAGAGTGAAACTAAGGAGTGTGACTGCTCTGCAAGTATTTCGAACAGCCCAAAGGCAGCATACACTTTTTAATGCACCAGGATGTGCCACCTAAAATATGTCTATATGGAGTGTCAGGCCCAATTCTTTACCAAATCAAGTAAATGAGAATTTAGCCACTATTTTCAAAGGGATTTAGATTGAGCTTAGAATCAGATTAAGAAAATAAATATTGCAAAAGTATTCCTGACTTATTTTAAAAGTATCCAAATGCAATTCAGTCAGTGTGACCCCAAAAAATTCAACACAGTATCAAAAAAAAAAAACAGCTGTGTAATTTGATGCTAAATGAATCTACCTAGACCAATTAACCTAGAACAGGCTTCCAGACGCAGCTATGTAATATCAACAGAAATAAACTCATAAAGGAAAGGTTGAGTGAAGAAAACTTCTAAGAGAAATCAGGACAGAATTAAGAATAATTATAAAAAAACCGAGGATCAAGGATCTTGCAGACAAGTTTGCACCAGAGTTCAAGATAATACAAATCATTTTATGATACTTGTAATTCCCTGATGCATTAAAAATAGTTAGCAAAATACTATAACTCTATTGAAATCTTTGCTTTACTTTGTTTTTAAGGGGGGAGGAAGAATGATTTCTGCTAAATTTTCTGGCATTTTAGTTGGCTCAAATTACATCTATGAAGGACTAAATTACTACCAATGCACAACAAAAAAAAATGTTTCATTACTGAAACAAGAACTATACATCTACACAAGTGTGGGCTTCTGTTGCTTACTGGAATCCCATCGCCTTTCATTTTTTAGCTATTAAAATTCTGATAAAATATAAACATTGAAAACTAGAAACTCTCGTATTTTCCTTGAGGAAACCTGAAACCTGGTTAAATTCTCATATTAGTAAAAGCAGGACCTCAAGTAGTTGGTAAATTATCCACCAGAGCCCAAGTTCTGTGAAGGGAAGCAGAACAAATACAGGCCAAATTATCTTGACCAGTTATGAAGCAGTACATGCTAGCCTGTGAGGAAACTGGAGGTAACAGTTCTAGGTTAATGCCATATAGCTGTTAATGCGTAAACTGATTGGATGGCATCTTCAATTCTCTTGCTTTTTTTTTTCTGCTACCCTTTTGCTGTTTTATTTTTCTTCCTTTTTTTCCCCTCTCTTTTTTTTTTTCTCTTTCGAAAAGGTTCCCAAATATTACTGTATTACAGATTTTCCATTTTTAGTAACAGCACCTTCACACTTAATGTTGTTCACACTGTTTGCTGGCAATGTCCATTCTACCTGCTTACAGAAAGATAATGATAAATAATTTAAATACTTTCAGATGTCTTCCATATGAGGTGCAAATTATGTAAACATTCCAGCTCATTATGAGCTGAGACAGAAACTGAAACTCAGAAAGTAGATCCTTAATATATATACATCACAACATCATAACTAGTATAAGTAGTGCTTTTATGAATATACAGGGGAAATACAGGTTTGTTCATGTTTTCAGAAATTCATACCTGTACATTTTTAATTAAACTAATAGAATTAGTGATTTGTATATGGACTGTTTTCAGAACTGCTTTTTAATGAAAAATAATTGTAACACTGAATTTTATTTTATATTTATTTGAGTGTACATTATATATAGTTGTATTTTTTTTTAATTGAAATGACATTTCATATGAAAGAAAGCAGAACTTATTACTGTCTTTTCCTAGGCTCATTATAATCCTAGTCATAGTGGTATGATCCACACACACAGAATTAATGTGGCTAAATCTTCATTTCATCAAGATTTTCAAGTGCATTAATTTGCATGTTGCAAGAATAGTAACTGTAATCTCCTTTCCTCAGGCAGATTCATCAATATTTGGGACTTCATAAGTGAAACCAAAAAAGAACAAGTTAGAGCATGGAGACAAACAGTTCTACTGTAATTCAATCTTAATAAGAAATTGCCAATTCCTAATAAAGTCTTTTCCAGTCTACTTTCTATGTCTTTAGAACTTACTAGAAGTTAAAAATGTATTTTCAATTATTTGTTCCACTATGTTTCCTTTAATAGAAATTAAATAATAAATTAGTATCCAATGTTCATAGCAAATATTCAGTGATAGATAACTGATAGCTTAATGTTGAAGGATGGAAGGACCTAGAACTAGATGACTGAATGTGTAACTCATGATGGGAATCATTATGGTTTTTTGTAATACAATTGGCTTGATAATAACTCATAGTTCATAGATGTAGTTATAAGTAAGGAAATTCAGATGTAATAGCTTTTGGGGAGATTCAAAGCTGTCCATTTCATACCATAATGGTAATTAAGATTTAATTAGATCTGGCTCTGCTGAAATTTCATTCAGGACAAGTAGATACCAAAATGAAGTTTGGTACCATTCAGGAGTTTTGGTTTGGTTTAGGTTTGTTTTGGTTTGAAGTCTACAGTATATTTGGCATAGGTTTAATAAATAAACTAAGCATTGGGGGGGGTTGTATAATTATTTAGTATCACTGCTGTTGGGAGAGGAATGCAATATTTTAAAATCTTGTCTACATACTTCACCCTAGGACATTTTATGGAACACTAAAAATCCTCAGGAGTTTTAGGAGCATGTTGGCTCGTCACTGAGCCAGTATTGTGTGACTTTTCATCCCTAATGACTTGCATTACGTATGACAAGGAAAAACAAAAAGCACATAAAGGAAATTAAAAATTCTTCTTTATTATTTTTTCAAGATTTCTAGATGCTTATTTATAATTAATGATCCCCCATTAATAACAGTTCATATTTTGCTGTCATTTTTATCTATTAAATACATTCACATCAAATTAGAATTATTCAGTCAACTGCAAAATAGAGAGCTGTAGGTAAAACATAAGTAATGATTATTAGGAAAGATTTGTAACAACTCTGTTTCTTTCTAAATTATTAGAAGTATTTAAAATTCCAGTTGCATTTCATACACTCTGAATAAATCCTTTGTAAAGCTATAAATGGTATTTTTGTATCTAAAAATAACCGTTTTTTATACTTTTAAGGAAGTTTCAAGAGGGTGAACGTGTGCCCTCAGCTCACATGGACACCTGTAGTGGTCCAATTAGCTGTGGACAACAAAGTATGTTTCTCTTATGTAACCAATGCTGTGTGAAGAAGAATCACACGTCTGGGTGTAGCAGCAGTATATAATGAGTGTTCTTCTTGTAATAAACCGACATTCTGCCGACCAAATTGGCCTGTGAGCAATCTGTTCCGTGCCCCTCCACCGATACTGGGTGAAGAACCTTTTCCTGAAATCTAACATAAACCTGCCCTGATATGATGTCAGAGACTAACTTCCTGCAAGAGATACTTCAGGAAATGATATCCATGCTAGATTTTTCATCCAATATTCATCAGCCTGTCTATCCCTGTACTCACAATATTTTATATCTACTTTTTAAAATTGATACAGTATGTAGAGAAATAGCTATTTGGTAGTATCTAATAGCACAATCAGGCTAGTTTTCTTTGGGCAAAATTAAATGTCATTGTACCTCAAGCTAGAGTATAACTTATCCATGTGTTCCTTCACAACAATAAGTGAGCTGTTAACAGTCATTGTTGCAAGACTTAATAAGATATTACAGGCTTTCCACTTTGTTGATTCTAAATACAGTAATTAGACTCAGTTACAATAAGCTTGTAATAAAACTATAATGATATCAGTGACATTTAAAAAAAAGCTGTAATGCAACAGGACAAAAAGCTGAAATAATCAACATAGGTAAGACATATAGAGTTGACTGAATCACTAGATCAGAATACATTTACAGAAAAAGATAAACAAATTCTGAAAAAAAGAAAAATCAAACTCTAGTCACTATCATTTCACTTTTACTGCTTTACAGGGTATTTTCACCAGGAGTCTTCTGTTTTACAGGCTGAAGAGGTAGAACTTTCCTACTTCTTCACTCTGCTTTTTTGATTTCTGTTTAGCACTATCACAGTCCATTCTAAAATATACATTGCTATCTGTAACAGCTGGCTATCAGTAACTCATGGAATCTCCCACAGAACTCCAGCCTGGGGATCATGAATCTGTCACTGATCGAAAATAGCTGGATTGTTATATTTCCGGCCATAGTGAAAGCATTTTTTATGCTTCTTATCCCTCAAGGCTAATAGAAATGATGATTTGGATGGATGAAGGATACATTCTTTACAAAAAAGGGCCTGTGCTTTTTAGCTGAAATGTATAAAAACTCATGATGACTCAAGAAAGTGCTACAAGGGCACCTCAAGGGCATGCACAATTGAGCATAATTTACCAATCAACTCTTGAACTCTTAGGTGCAAACAGGAAATGATAGAACACCAAAGTGATAAAAAGTCCCAGGACCCTTTGAGCAGAAATAGAATGTTTTAACTGAAAAATAAATTCATTTTAACATGAATCATCAGCAACAGTAGCACCAGTCAAGGTTAATTCCTGCATAGGACTACGGTGCGTTTGATTAAAAAACTGCTGAATACACTCAGACTTTTACAATATTTCTCATGCTTCCTTTGCTTGATCACTGAGTGTCACTATGACAAAATCATTTTCTGTCATGAGGGGCTCACAGTGGTGACAAGAATTTCTGTTACATATTTAAAAAGTGTCTACTACTTCTATAAAGAAGGAACAAAGATTTTCCTTAGCAAGACACTGAATCCTAACAGATTTATCTAATGTATAACATTGACTATGAGTAAATTGAAGTCATCTTAATGCATTTTTCTACTTTCCTTCATTTGTGGTCTTTCTCACCAATTCTTCTCTTTTTTTCTTTGTGGCAGTGCAGTATGAATTAGTATCTAAAGAAATATGCAAATTCAATATCATGCCTCAATACAAACAATGAATTTATGTTCATTTTAGTTTGTATCTGTCTGTCTGTCAGGCTTCACTCTTTCAAGACCTATTTATATAAAGTGTTCAGCTACTGGTGTGTGGATTTTAGTTTCATTTTTCCAATAGCAATGCAGCCAAAGCTTTTTTCATCCTTAAATTTGAACCATAATTTCAAACAATGACATTATTAATATTGGAAAAGTCAAAGTAGGAAGAATCCCAATTATCTTTGAATTAAGCAAGAGAAGGGAGAATACACAGACTCATTTTTACACAGTAAAAAAACACTGCTTCTAGCCATAACTTGGCTAAATGGAAAACTTCAAATCTCACCATTACTTTTTATTGCTAATGCAAAGCAATGTTTATCTAATATTCCTCTTATCTTTATGACTATTCCATATGTAATTTGCATAGGCAATTCCAAAAAGAAAAATGATGCATCTGATGGTAATTACACCTGGCTAACATTGAGAATATAGTTAAGTAAATTTAATTTGCTTTTTAATAACTTTCAAGACATTTTATGTTACACATTTGCATGTAAACACCTTAAAATATTAACATAGTTATGCCAATGGAGGGAAAAATAATTCCTGAAGGTCAAGGTGAAATATAATGTCTTTGAATGAAATTAATTTGTTTCAAGTAGTCATAATCATTATTCTTCTTATTGTAAGTAACTAGAATGATTGACTGATGTATCTGATAAAATTTGACCTACTTATGGAGAGGGAGCATAAAAAAACTCACCATGGAAATTTCATTATTCACTGCACAGTGACATAACCATCTGCTGAAAAATACAAGGAATGAGTAGTACTCAGGATGAGCACAAACATCCCACCTGGGACCTTATTTGAATTATCCTTTTTTAGTGGTTAGGAAGAAGTTGTAATCTCCTGGTGACAAATCTCTTTTGAAATAATGTGGCATCAAGAAAACTCAGCAAGGGAATGGGGAGGGGGGGGAATATTTCCCTCTCAATCTGAACTTTGCTGGTAAATAAGCAAGAAATGTTTTCTTTTAAAGTCTTCATTTTATTAGTGATCATATTAATAAAGCATGAATTATACATCCTTACTTGTACAAAATAGATCACTCTCAATGTTTCAGACCAGATATTTAGCCTAGATTAAGTATATTCTAACGTGAATGTATTGATTCTATGACATCTTTAATTATGCCTCATGCATATTGGTACCAGTAATGGGCTTTATTTACATTATCATATATATTATGGCCCTGATGCTCTATAGTGGCGTAAGTCTTCATGTGTGGAGTTCTTTTTGGGTTTAGCTTCAAACATAACTGGACAATGCCATGTCATACTGCTAAATACAGATAATACCCAGAGATGCAAAAGCAGAATACCTTCCTATAGCTGTAATTGTATATGTAAAAGGGTTTAATCTCATCTGTACCATATGATCCTGTATGATATTGGTTGTATCTGTGTCATATAACTTTAAGAAACTCTACTAACACTGCTACATAAATTTAATACAAAAAAGACAGATTGATGAAAATTTCATTATTTATTCTTTTAATGATGATCTGAGCTAAATAAGAATGCAGCGTTTTATGTAATTAAAAGATGTTTTAATTATACAAAGACCCCAATACATGCATCTATAAAATCATGTATTAGATACTTATGAGATGCACCAAATTACATACGCGCATATATACATATACACAAAAATTGAAAAAATTGCACACAGATATGCATTTATGTATTCATAGATTGAAAAATTAAACACATTAATTAATCTAAACTTAAACATATTTTTATTTATACTGAACAATTTTTTCCCCAGATATTTCCATTTTTATATGAAAATTCATGTTTTATTTTAACTAAAGATGGAAAAATTGATGCATACAGATAATTGAAAACACTGCCTACCTCCCAAGCTCTCCTTAAAACCTGACTCTTCTCTAATGGAGATAATGTCTTCAGTAATAGAGGTTAAGATAATATTTCACTTGGAGTTGTACAGTTACTTATTCTTGCACAAGACCATTAACTTAAGGCATTGAATATATTGCTACAATAGGCTTCTTGTTCAACAAACAAAATTAGAAAAAGTTAAATGTATACAAAATT